CCGCCGCACCCTGAATAAGGCCTAAGGTTTAATGGCTTTAATATTATCGGATTAATCGAGACTAAACGTAGTCGTGTCTACACGGCTTATCGCGATAATTTTACTACGGCATTCGATATGCATTAGGCATTAGACGATATCTCGGGTGGCGGTCTTTTTGACACATCAAAAAGATTTATCGCGCTATTTAATGCGTATATTTGCCACATTGACATCAATTAGCGTGCAGCATGAGCGCAACAGGATTGCACGTGGAGTGATCAAATGTTTAATAATCACTTTTTATTCAAAAAAATACCGATCTCAAAAGTTTTTGCTTAGCGTCTTTTTTATTGGAATTACATCTGTTTGACAAGTGTTATTGAAATCAGTTAAGGGAAAATGCGCGGAACCCGATTCATCCCCTAGTTTGCCACACTTAGAGGTGGAATATTTTCTTTAAATTTAAATGGGACCACTACTGACGCACCCTGTTTTCAACAAAAAATAATCATGAAAATCGGTTCACAAATGCAGAGTTATCGCATAAGATACATACAAAAAAAACATTCAGTCGAATTGACAACCTCCTCCTTTTTTGAAGTCGGTTAAAAGATACAGTCGAATTGAGAAACTCCTCCTTTTTGGAGTCGGTTGAAAGCGCTCGAGTTTCTCGAATTGTTTCAAACTGAACCATGTTTATGATAGACTAAAGTATTGGTTTTGCTTCGACTCATGAAATAGCATAACGCAGCAGTTTCAACCTCCGTCTTGGAATGATATTTTCAACTCATATTTGGACATAATTAAAACAAGAACCAACCCACACCTCAAGTGAAATTTAGTTATGTATTTAGGTAGAACACCAGACGTGTCCTTTACCCTCTCACAAAAGATCCTGGCAATATACCAAGCCAAAACGGAGAAAATTTCAGGTGTTTCAGGGTACCAACCCTAAATAAGTATCTTTTTAATAGCTAAGAAAAACCATGCTGCTTAACTTCATATGATGTATTTTTTCAAATATGCTAAATGGATCCATGTCACGTGTACTGAAGTACAGTAGAGCTTTAGCGTTTTCATTACGAAAACTAGAACATGGTTCTCGTTAACTAAATAAAAAGATACATAATGTTTTCTATTTATTGCTATATAATATAATAGTTTCCTTATATCATTCTCAGTGCTACACATAACTCACGTTGTTTGTCTCAAATAACTTACCTATTTATTTCTTCACACTGTTTTTACAAAAATCTAATTATCTCAAAAGTGTCATTTTGTGGGTTGGTTCTAGTTTGCATAACTATGTCCAATTTATTGGCATTAGAGCTTAGATCCTATTGTAGCCAGTCTGTTTCACGCAATATTTTAGGCAGTATTTTTATGCCTCAATTATTTCGATAATGGGCGTTAGACTTTAACCTTAGTGTGGCTCCAGCATTACACTATGATTTACACATTACTTTACACCATTATTAACATTATGTAACTACTGTTCATGTTTATTCTTATTCTGTAGGTACACAGCGGGAGCGGGCGTAGGCGTGTTCCACAGTGGCGTAGAGGTGCACGGATCGGAGTGGGCGTACGGTGGGCACCCTTACGCCTTCACGGGAGTATTCGAGATCACGCCGCGCGATTCGAGAGAACTCGGCGAACAGTTTCGATTCAGGTGAGTAATATTTCACGTGAAACCACACCCCACTGGTTGTTGAAAATTGTACTTTGGGTCGTATGCACAGAGTTCACATGTGCAGTTTACAAAGTAAGCTAAAATGATATGGTGCACTCATCGAGTACCAGAAATAGAGACGAAATGTCGTTTAATCTGTTTGAAAACTATTCTGCCACATCATTACGGTGACAACTGCGCTCCGATTGGCCAGCCCAAATTCGAAACAATTGACGTAGTCGTCAATTGTTTCACTTCAAATCGACCATTTTATACTGGAGCGTTGCTATAATGGACGAAAATTGCAAAATTACATATTTAATATTTAATTACCGATGAAATGTGATTCCGTTTGTTTTGTAATTACATGTTTTGCCTTTTTTTCCCACACCACCGAATGGAACAGCCCCCCATAGAGATATTATCTTTATTACAATATATGCAGAAAATTTTTGGAATATATGGAGACGTACACACAGGTCAGTTGTTGGCGCTGTACTATTTCAGCTTTCTAATTTGTGATTTCAGCGCTGACGAGGTTTGGTATTTAAAAGTGATGAAAGGCCCATTTGCCTGACGAGTTGCCAGGGATGAATAGCCCTCATTTCGTCTCTATTTCTGGTAATATACTCGATGGGTGCACTCCATCACTCACCTCAAGTAAATAAAAAACAATATTTCCGTAAGTTACGTATGCCATGCGGAGGGAAGAATGTCATGTGACGAGTTGAGTATTTGGTATGAATGTGGAGGGATATAAAGGGAGAGGAAGGCCAAAGCAAAGATGGATGGATTGTGTGAAGATGACATGGATAAAAAAGGCGTGAGTATGAAAATGACGGCTGATAGGGGAGAGTGGAAGAAAAATACATATTGTGCCAACACCACCTAGGACAGGAAGACGAATTTATTACCGCTTGGCGGGAGAAATAGGTGAGGCATTACTTCCCTAGACGAACTCATTCACTAAAAGCTCTACTGCTACTAAAAAACAATGCCCTTTTAAATAGATATATTACAGAGAGTTTCAAACGTTGCAGGCAAAGTATACGCATCGGGTACACGGACTTCAGCGAAGAGGAAGTCCGGCGACTGGTCACAGAGCTTGGGAAGCAGTTCCGCGGTGACAGGTAATTTTTCACACCAGCCGTTTATCGGCGAAACATTTTATTTTTAACCGACTTCAAAAAAGGAAGAGGTTTTCAATTCGACTGTATTGTTTTTTGTATGTTACGCGATTACTCCGGTATTTATGAAACGATTTAGATTATTATTTTTTTGTTGGAAAGAAGGTACATTTTAATTTGAAGAAAATGTTCTACACGTAAGAGTGGATGGTAATCTAGAGGATGAATCCGGTTTCTCGCACTTTCCGGTTACCGATTTCAATAAAACTTGGCAAATAGATGTAATTCCACGAACATTTGAGGTCGGTCTTTTTTTTTTTCATAAAAAGTTACAATTATTACGAAGCCGTTCGAAAAGGTCTAGCTACATCGACTGAACTGGCAACCGGTACTATCTCAATTTTGACAATTTCACAGGATGAAGAAAAGAATTGTTTGCGTCATTTATATAACATTTTTATATAACAGTTATTACAAATGGAGATACCGGTTGCCAGTCCACAGTCGATATATCACATTTTACTCTACTCATAGAGTGACAATCGTACACAAATGTTCAGATTGTCACTCTACCTTCAGCGTCTGCACCGAGATGGTTTACTCTTGTTTTGACGACTTCTGTATACGAGTAGCGCGCACACCGCTTTTCATGGTGTCCCCATCTCTGTGTACCCGACCGGGACCACTGTAGAAACTTTTCTATATTGTCTCGGGTCTAAGTATTTGTGGTACCGTTGTTGTTTCTTTACTTTGGGACAGGAGCAATGTATGTGATGTTTCAATATATTTCTTACGTTTCAGATACCACCTAATGAACAACAACTGCAATCACTTCACGTCGGCGTTTTGTCAGGTAATATAATATAAACTATAGCAATAAATACCATATAAATTTAAATGTATAATGGAAATATCATTTCTTTAATAGTGGACAGTTTGCAGTGCAAACCGCGCCTGTCTTGATTAAAATAACCAGTAAAGATAAAGAAAACTATACATGTATATAGAAATGTATATAAAAAGAATATAATAAAAATCATTTCCGTAAAAAGCACAGTACACACACACAACATATATAACACTTTACTTCAACTACACAACACTTGAAACAAGTACAATGCACAACGTGCTTCATTATATTATATAATACCCTCCCTAACACGTCACTCGAGCCACTTTGCATTTTCATAATTAAATAATACTAAAAATAAAAAAGCTGGTGTGTGTGGTTAATAATAATATAATAAGAATAATAATACTTTGTTTTCTACACAAAATACAACAACAAACAAGAAGTACATATACATGTTAGTAATTTTAGAACAGTATTTTGTAGGGAGCTGGTGCTTGCTATATAGGTTGAACCGTTTTGACGCATTATGTCAGGATCGCAAAATGCCAAACAGGCAGAATGTCACATTCGCAAAATGCCAGATTAGCAAAACACTTGTGCTAGAAGTCACCAGGTCCCAATCCTTGCAAATGAAACAAATGTTACTAAGTATACGCATACCAACCAAAAATTATATGTATGAGAGAAAAAAGATGACAGAGAAATTAGAATATTCCTATAAAAATATTTTATTTAATGACATTCCAGGCGCTGTGCTCACGTGACATCCCGTCGTGGATAAACAGGCTAGCCTACGTCAGCTCCTGTGTACCCTTCCTGCAGCGCTGTTTGCCCAAGTACATAACGTTTTAATTGACATAATGTGTGTGTGTAATGTATATTTTATTGTGTATGAGAGGTGTTGTGCATCAAGTGCCGCCATTTTGAATTTTCGCCCAAGATTAATTTATCTTAAAATAGTGATCGAGGCTAGCGTTAATGTCACATACAAAAAATTGAGAAGAAGTTATTTATATTTACGTACGCACTGAGCGAGATAAAGAAAACGACTGACCAGACAACTGCAATTGCCGCTTATTATGCATACACTCGTTCCAACTTAAGTTACGGAATTATCCTTTGGGGAAATAGTGTGTACGCACGAGAAGTATTTACAATTCAAAAAAAGTATACTGACTTGCAGACCATATTTCAAACAATTTAAAATTTTAACTTTAGTTTCCGTTTATATTTTCGAGATTTGTAAATTTATAAACAGCACCCTGACTTCTACATCAATCTTGACGACCTGCCCCAAGGACATACTTTTAGACCACGCAATAGATTGCTTCTGCCACAATCTCAGCTACAAATACACAGCTCAGGTCCCCACTCAATGTCGGTAAAGATATTCCACGGTCTCCCGCCAATCATTAAGAACGAGAAAAAGTATTTACTCTTTCTTAATAAATTGAAATTATACCTAATTAATAAAAGTTACCACAATTTAAGTGAATACTTTAATGACAAAATATAATAATATAGAAACAAATTTTTATAATTAAATTACTATATAACAAATAAATCTTGAATTGTGTTATATTATATATTGATATTATTGTAATTTAATTTAATTGAATTGGAATTTTCTCAGTGTCATACTTTTTATTATACATACACATATTGATAGTGAACAATTGAAGTGACTGATCTAAGCCTCGGCCTTCCTCTGCTCTTATTATTATCCCTAAGACAGGACTCATATGTGTAGTAACACTATTTCAATTTTAAGATCTTATGTACCATATGAAAACAGTAAACAATATTGTAATATATTAATAATAATGCAATATTGTAACAAACAGCATTGAGTTACATAATAAAAATATATTGTTATTGTTTGTTTTATGCTGTATAATTAGGGAGTGCACTTACCAATATTTTCCACTCCTCATCTTTCGAAAACATCCCGCATAGACCATTCATATAAGCTGACTACCACATCCTACTTAAATAATAATAATACAACCACACCAAATGCCTGGTCTCAAACTAGGGAATCCCCTGTACTATGTGTACCAGAGGAACTGGCACTCATGGTACGGTTACTCTTCGGCACTTCCTAGAACACCCAGACCAGAACCAATTTAGAAAAGTTCATTTCCCCAAATTGGTCCTACCAGGAATCGAACCCGGGACCTGGAATGTAAGCCGTTATACCACCGGGGCCGTCATCAAAATCATCAATTCATCATCATCGCCGAATTCCATCGTGGCCAAACACGTCCCTTAATGTCAATAATTCTTGTCTTCAATAAGTCTTGTCTTGTGTACAATAATAAATTGTCTTGTGTTATGTGCAGGGAGTGGCTGACCCCTGCGGCACTTCAGCAGTCTCTGGCGCTGGCGCACTCGCGTTCCTCATCGCCATCCACGCCGCAATAACAAAGTGAGTACTGATACATCATCATCAGCCTATCGCATCCATTACTGGACATAGGCCTCTCCCAATTTCCCAAGCCTTTCACAAATTTTACTACCATGATATAGAGTTAAATGTTGTACAAGTAAATATGTAAATTTCCTATTTTCAAAATGTTTCCGAAATACATATTTCAAGAATGTTTCCGGTGGGAAAGCTTCCAATTTAGGAGAATTCTTAAAATTACTGAAAATACTCTGTACTGAAAAATTTTGTAAACCTAGTAGTGATTGTTCGTCATGATAGGCATATTGTAATAGGTCACCGCTTTTTCAACGGGAAACTAGAAATATTGCAGCTTTGTCAAACACCCCTCCGTAAACTATACATCATCAAATTGTATATTATAATATCCGGGCGGGGCACATTACTCGTACAACAGATAACCGATTGCCGGGCCAAAAAGTTCTCGAGTGGCGACCGCGTACTGGAAGACGCAGCGTGGACAAACCACCTATGACCTAGCGCAAGCCCGATCTTTGGGAAAGGCGTATGTCCAGCGGTGGACGTGTTTCGGCTGAAATGGTGATGATTTGACAATATTCGTTTTTTTTTGCATTAAAAATGAATTAACCATTGATTTGAATTTAACTGAAGTTTTTATTTTTAATTACAGAGAAAAATACCAAAAAGTTTTTTCATTTAAGAAAACAGCTGTGTTGTGCGGAACCTTAGATCTAAAATAATCTAATGTAATAAAAATAGGTAAGTGAGTTTGGCGCATTGTCGAACACATGCGAAATTAAACCTATTTTTAATGTTTATAGCATAATTTGAGGGCCATTCTTTAAAATTATTAAAAACAATTTTATGTCGAAACTTTTTTATTAGTACACAGACAAAGACATTTCGCTGTTTTACATTTACACAAACAATACAATAAAATAAAATTAAAACAATTTGGTAATTAAAATAGAGCTTTAACAATTTGTAAACTATTCACAAGCATTGGTACGATTAGGCACAAGTCTCCATTAAAAAAAAATGTTACCTCTTTTACACAAGTTTCATTTGAAATACCAAAAAAAAATCTACAAATATACTTTAAGAAGTTATTACTAAAAAACTTCATTTCGTAATTTAACTTATTCTTTTTTTAATAAATGGTCTTTTAACACCAGCTTTTTATATTACTCTATAAAAAAATGTTATGTTTTATGGCTATGGTCGATTTTTCCACATTATTGTGTTAAATGTTAGCATATGAAATAAACTATATAAGTACAGGCGCTTGTCGCTTTTCCATAAAAACAAGGAAATACACTAACAAACGAAGAGGCTGTATGGTGTATCCTCTGCCTACCTAAATAAATGGAATAAACTTATTAAAAAATTATAAAATTATTAAACCTTAATAAAATACAGAAACAGTATTACTCATTAGGCCAAATATGACATAAAATTGTTTTAAATTTAGAAATATGATTAGATTGTAGAAAAAGGACTGTCATCTCATTAATCGTATGATTTTTTTACAAAACTTTGAACTTTCGTGTTTTTTTTCAGTTTCTTTTAGACATATGTTTTGTTTTACAAACAAATCGTAAAGCAAACAATTAATAACAAACTATAAATAGACTTTAGCTGTCCGTCCTTTTGGCACGAGGTAAAACGTTCACTGTCCTACATGTTGGCGAAGAAAACTTTCTTCGCGATCGTCATGTGGGGTAGGTAGTGTGTGGTCACCTATTGATAAAATGGTGTTTTGTGTGTTTGCATGTTTACTACTTTAAAAACATTGATTTTCTTCCGAATTAAAAATTTTGGTACAATTTTGTTTATAACTTTTTAAGCAAAGAAGTATAATATTAGTACACTCAACAAACGTTTTCAAATGAAATTAATTTAAAAAATGTTTATCACAAAAACATGACTTGCTTTAAAAGTTATAAAATATAAACAAAATAACTTTCAGGAAAATTGTTTCATTTTTGTACTGTGCATAATGAACTTGTAATACGTCCCTTTGCTACACAGTGAGTGGTCTCCTTTGTAAAGAAGGCGATAAGCCATTGTCTATTTTTTCTAAAATATGTAAATAATCGTGTGCTACTGATATAAACAACTAAGAACTGAAAAATATGTAAATAATCGTCCTTTAATTATTAAATTAGTGTCTAAACAACAAAGATTGCCATTGACCATCAAATATATTGGCGAACAAATGGTAGGAAATGAAACTATTTTTCCGGATTTAAATCGCGTATATTTGTTTTTTCAAACAAACCGACGTTTCGGGCCCTTTACAAGTCCCATGGTCATCCCATGGTCACGGATGAAACGTCGGTTTGTTTGAAAAAAACAAATATACGCGATTTAAATCTAGAAAAATAGTTTCATTTCCTATGTGTAACAATCGCGAAAACCTAAGAACTGGACAAATGGCAGTTTTGAATGCAATTCTTTTTCAGCAAAACAAAAAATACGTTGTCCAACATGTCGGACCAATTTGTTTGTCAGTGAATGGGGTTTTAAACATGAAGTTTATTCGTTTTACTATAGTAACTCATTACATGTTTTTCATTAAGCTCAAGATGGTGTACCTTAAAATATACTACTCTTGGACATATTTAAAAGAAAGCTAAAAAGGTTCAAATTATGATTATTATGTTCATACAAATCACATATACCAGAACGTTTAATTTGAAAAAAGGAATGACTTCAATCGTCTTTTGATTTCAATTAAACGTTCAGCCCCCGTAGCATACCGTCGCGATGAAGCTATTATATCCAAATTTAGCTATCAAATTCGAGTGATAAAACCGCCATTTTAAAATTTTATCACAATAGCTAATATGGTGAGCACCGTGACGTGACATTTTTATCGCATCGTGAGCGACTCGACCAATGGCTGCAAAAGAATATCGCTGTGCCAAGCATGGCCACAAGGTCACAGCTGATTTTAAATCATTTGAACAGTTTGTGCACAGTAATTTTATCAATGTAAAAATTGCGCGCGACAAACGAGATAAAAAGAAATAATAAAAACCAACAAATTTATATGTTTATGTAAATTATTGGAAAAAGGCGAGGAGACCATTATTAATATAGTTCAATACATGAGAGTAATTAGAAATACCTAAATAATAACTAATGTAATAACTGAAACTACAAAACCCGCCCTTCCAATTTTTTGTTTCGTCGTTTTCGCGGTGATGGTCAAACCTTGTTCTTCAAAAAGTTTATCCTTGTTCTTCAAAAAGTATAACAATAGTTCATTACCAAATAAACAAAAGAACGAATGACTAATGCGGTATCTTACCGATTCGCAATAAAAAAATAATGGCAACACATCTTTATCATCTTAAATAAATATCATCATATGTCACGGAGAAGTTTATCATTGCATGTGATATACTGTCATGCTACGGCCTCTGGTATATGTGGCCAAGGGTTCATGTAAACGTTGTTATTATAATTCCAGGATTTATTAGCGTAATATATAACTTAGAAAAAATACTCAGATAAATGAGTGTATTTTCTGAGTTATATTTTTTAATGGGGAAATTATTATTATTAACTTGACAGGCGTCGATGAAGTCAACGCCTAAACTAACTTTTGTTTTTATTTCAACCTTATAATTTATTTATCTTTACAAATTTTGTATGAAACGAAACTTTTTTGCTTAAATTTTCGAAAACGCTTATTTTAATTTCAGACTTCATGGACACCTGTATATTTTAATGTTAATTATTGATGTGCCATTGCTATACAAAAATATTACATAATACAAATGGAGCCACTTTTTTGCATCTAAATCGCGTAAATTTTGACGAACCAACCGTTACGGCAGGCTGGGTCCCGTAAAGAGCTCGAAATGTTGATTTGTTTGAAAAAAAAACAAATACACTCGATAATTATTAGTCCCGATTAGTCCTGTCGGGTTGAAGGAATTTATCTTTGTGTTCGTTCTTTGTATTTAATAATCATAGGAAACTAGTGGAGTCATGTCACAAAATAAAATAAATCCATAATAAACATATGCGATATAAAGCGCTTTCAAATTAGACGCTTCTAGAAGCTCTGCATCCGCGCCACTAATAATTTTCGTACAATATTTAAAAGAACAGTTGCAGCGCCGCTGTCGTGATACGCGTGCGGCATTTTTGCATTTATCCATACATATTAACTACATAATAAAGTTAACAAGACTATTTAGAATTACATAAATTATTTGTATATGGGGGACAGTCTCGGCATTTACTGAGCGGCAAAAGTCATTCAGCACTGATTTTCAGAGTGCCCACGATTTTTGCAAACTCATTTGTATTTGCTCCTGTTTCACAAATTTAGTGAACTACATAATCTTTTATAATTGAATGATCAAAAATAATTACCATTTTATGTCTAACAATAAATTATAAATTAGTAACATTATAAAGCTAAATCCATAAGTCAATGGCTAAATCTGAATAATTTAGTGAATTAGTAATCTCTATTCAGTTAAACATGCTTATTTGTCTAATTTGAAGGCGCCTTTAGATCGGAAAAAAATATTTCCAATGTGTAGCAAGACTAAGAATTCGATATTACATGATAATGTATTAATGCGCCATTTCGAAAACCTGTTTTACTAACGTTGACGTCAAAGTAAATTCCAGTGCGAACGTCTTTCCTAAAATTAATTTGTCGGATTTGAGCATTAATACCCTAAATACTGTAACATTTTCTTCCTTCATACCTCAACAAACGTTAAAATATATAAAAAAACTTCCCAGGTACTGTAGTAAATAAATAAAAAATATATAAATAGAATAAAATTATATCCCTTACAATAACTAAGTCTTGAAAAACGATTCCTCCTAAAGTTCTAAATATTTACCAATAAAAAAAGTTTTTGACAATGCGCCAACATTAAAGAAATCTGGATGTTATTTTTCAAATAGATAATAATTGATAAATTTTGCAAGCAGTTTATGGATCAAGTATTTGGCGATGTTCTCTGTTTATCCCGACAATGAAACACCCAATTTGTCTTTCAAATATTTCGCGACGTTTTTTGTTTATTTTGACAATGTAACAAGTAATTTGTCGTTCAAGTATTTCTCAACGTACTACATCTACCTCGACAATGAAGCAAACAATTTGTCTGTCAAGAATTTTACGAATTTCTTTATCTACCTTGACAATGAAACAAGCAATTTGTCATTCCAGTATGTCACGACGTTTTTGTGTATTTTGATAATAAATCAAGCAATTTATCTTTCAAGCTTTCCATGAAGTACTCTGTATACCTTACAAATGAAACAAGCACTTTGTCACTCAAGAATTTCACGTCGTTCTTTATCATCTTGACAATGAAACAAGCAGATTGGCTTACAAGTTTTTCATGGCGTTCTTTATCTATTTTGACAATGAAACAAGCAATTTGTCTTTCAAGCATTTCACGACGTTCTCTATCTACTTTGGCTATGAAACAAGCACTATGTCGTTCAAGAATTTCACGACGTTCTTTATCTATCTTGACAATTAAACAAGCATTTTGTCATAAGTGTTTTACGACGTTATTTGTGTACCGTTCAGTTAAAAAGTAAGTTTACTCTCAAAGCACAAAAGTACTAAAAATCTTATATTTTAATATGTACGAAAGGATCTCACCAAGACATTGAGGTCGTCATACGGTGACGCCGGTCGTCTGTCGAATTAACGCGCGACTCTGCGGAGCGACTGCTATGTTTGATCCTAAAATTGTCGTATGGGTAGGTACCGCTCAAGATAATGTAGACCGGGTTTCACAGAAGGGACATGCCATAATTTTTTACATACATATTTTACCTAC